CTCAGCAGCTTCAATGCTAAGAAAACACTATATACAGCTTTATAATGAAGTCCAATAGGTCCAAACATCTCTTGTAAACATCTACAAGACCAGCCTTGACTTTTGACCTTGTACTTGTACACGTTAGCACTATAGACTGTATCCTTAGAATGTTCACATCCTAAAGGTCCCATATTGTGCTTCTTTTCAGCAAGTTAATCAAAGTCTTGTTTGCCTCCACAGTGTATCTATCTTTTTTTGTCAAAAAGATTGCAAAGATGATTCATTTCACCACGACAGTGTAAACCCTAGTTTAAAGTTCTTAACGGGCAGTTCTGCTCTGAAAACCAGTGAGTGGCTGCTGTTTCTGGCCCCTTCAGGGAGAACAAACTGAATGCATCACAGTTAATCACAGTTTGAGCTGTTTTTTATTTTTATTTTATTTTATTTTATCTTCATTTAACCAGGAAGTCTCATGAGAAACAGGATTTTGGTTGCTGATCACACAATTCAGCAGCCACAAAGTAATGCAATACATCATAGTGCTGCCCAACACCAGCAACACTTTAATTGACTAATTGTGTTCTTTGATCTTCTGCATGTTGGCATCAGTTCTTGTTGAGGTACGTCCTGGTTTTTGGTCATCCTCCACGTCTTATGCCAGTCATAGATATGTGTACAGGACACTTTTTATTCCCTGTGCACATCCTTCAGCAAGTCAAGGGTTTCTGCTCAAGTTTTTCCCAAGTTAGCCAAGAACCTGATGTTAGCTCATTGCTCAAGGTTCGTTGTGTGACAGAGGGCACATGACTGGAGATAAAAACCCACCTGTGAAAGAAACACAACAGGTCAGTTGAAGTGTTGCTTTTGTCACACAGTGTAGAGATGTTAGGCATCAGTATGATGTACTTCATTACTGTATGGCTGCTGAATCGTGTGATCAGCAACCAACATCCTGTTTCTTAATTGCCACACCTCATATTTCACAAGAACCACAAAAAACAATGAAAAGGAATTTTCACCATATGGAACTTTGAAGTTTGCATTTCTGGGTTTGGGACAGACTGTGACAGAAGCTGTGTAGAATCTTACCAAGATGCTGCCAAACATTGTACCGGATGGGAAGAACTCTGTGATGGGGGAGAGGTCAGCCCCGATAATAGAGCTGCTATAGGTGCAGGATTCTTTTTTTTAGCTCTGTGAGATGACGTGTTGTTGTAAATATGCGCTATACAAATAAAATTGAATTGAATTGAATTTTTATATTTGGAGGCGTTTTAATTATCTAGTAAAAGTTCCAGTCATTTGACCTGTAATTCCAGCAATACAGTTCATCATAAACTCACTCCAATAATGTCCTGTTGTTTAGAGGAGGACTGAGTGTTCAGAACAGCAGGAGCATCGATTCAGTGTCCCTGAGCTAATGTATTATCACCATATGAGCTTCTAATGTACTGTACAGTATCATCATGCTGCATGCCTCACAGCAGGGCGTCCAGCTGCTGGTCTGTGCTACATGGACCATTTTATCATTCAGCCTGGGAATTGCTTTGCTGTTGTACAACCAGCACACTGCCTAGTAGACACATGTATGCCATGTAAACACAGATAAGAGTCTATTTGAAATATGCACAGCATGTTTTTCACAGCAACAACACAACACGTTGGGCTTGTCTGAAGTTGTGTAACTTGTGTAAATGTTATCTTTCAAGAGAGCGTGGATCCAAATTATGTTACAGACCGGCAGACCCTCTGTCCTGTATCCAAATGTGTTGGCTCTTCCTTTGACTGAATTGCATGTTCCGACATTGGGGCTGCAAAACTAGTTTTAACTGTTTGCTTGAGTGAACCTCACCCGTGAGACACTTTTTGCTTAGTGCATCAGTTCTTTAAATTCTCTGTAAAACCAGTTTCTTTCAGCAGACACCTTACATGAACCTCTCCACTCTTGCTTCTGCTTATCTTTCCTTGCTCCCAACAGGATGCTGGTCCCACAGCTCTGTACACGTGTCCTCACAGCCCAATACTCTGTCCTCTGTGTTATTCTGTATGTTAATTTCAGTCTTTCTTACGCTGGTATGTTTTCTTGGTGGAACAATGCATTCTCTGTTTTCCTGTAGGTAACTGTTGAAAAAGATTCTGTGAAAAGTGATCGTCCCTAATGAGGATCCAATTAAATTTGTTCATGCAGTGTTTAATCTTGGCTGTAATTCGTCATGCTCAAGCACTTATGTCTGAATGTAGTAACATGATGACTTATCACACTTGACACAAAACTGAGAAAGCACCTGTTGTCATGTATGAGACTTTTCTATCTTCTCTGTACCAACTCAGCCATACTGTATGATACAATGTTGGTGTTGCTCGATGTCATTGTTGGTCTGAATGGTTGATTTTTTTTTTTTCACAAAAACTGAGTTTACATGTTACTTGAAATGAACCAAATTATGTTAATATACAGAAACCAGCAGAAGTATTAGCAGCTGCCTGATTGTTCTCTCCAGGTTTAAGTGCTGTTGAATTAGTCTACTTTGTCATGCAGGCTTCATCCCACATAGATGGCCTTTCTTTTTTTTTTTTCTATACTGCGGAGGTCTGCTGCGCCTTCCTCCCACGCAAGCACAAAGCCCACGTAAAGTTTTCAAACAGCTTGCTGGCAGCTTTTGAGCTACTGCATACAAGAGCGCTCACTGGGAGGAGCATGTGATGAGCATTGCCAGTGGTCAGTGTCTACAGAGGGCACCTATAGTGGACGTAGCCACGCATTGAAACGGTCAAGTATGGGCTCATATGATAATGTATACAGCCACTGCAGCAGTGAGGTTGGATTTTTATCATGCCAACTGTAGCAAGACAGGACTAAAATTAACACATACAAATGCCACCACCCACTCGTGATATTATTGGTTGCTTTCTCATTGTAATAAAAGAACACATTCACAAACACGACAGGCTATATTGTGCAAAATGCAGTCTTTGTTTAACACAGAACACACAGACCAAATGTTAAATGGAAGTGTTATTAATTATTTCAAAAATGCTTGTGTCCAGGAGGACATTGTGTTCTTTAGCTGTATGTCACTGGTTATCCCTTCAGCTACGGAGGGAATAATCACATGAGCTATATGGACAGAGCTGTGCATTGTCCTCATGTTGTTTCCCTAACAGCAGGCTTTCTCTCAAGCTAAAATTCCTTAAGAGGAAAAAATGCCATTACCACAGGTACACCCGAGGCCAGGAGTTCCCGACCGTTTTAAATTTAGAAACATCATTTTGGGGGTTCAACAAACTCACAAAATTCACACAAACAAGAACAAAGGCAACACATTCAGACCTCAATAGCTTATATTTATTGATGTAATTCACTGTTTTGTGATACATTCACATAAAAACAACACCATGGAGAAACCCTATAAAGATAGCATATTTTTGGTGTACATACAATACAATATATATTTTCCACGTGTTTACATTCAGAAATGCATTAATTGTGTGCGTGATAAATCACTTGGCCTCTGCAGTGAGCCCCAGTGTGAGTACGGCACTAGAGCAGTGAACACACAAGCAGGTGGGACAAAGTCAACAGTAAACACAACACTAGTCCTAGTAATAATCCCGCCAGTTACTCTCTTGTGTTTGCTGGACAACCCTGACGACGAGCTGACCGACTGGACCACGTGTGCTGCCACAGAGATGAGGCAGTTGCAACTGAAACACTCTTCTAACCAAGAAAATTCAGTCTATAATCACACACAGACCAAAGTGAAGGTTTCACATGTGATCAGTATTTACATCATGTACACAAATGTTCTGTCAAAGGAGCATCACATGCATTTTGCAAACCCCCAAACTGAGCCACAGGGAAAGTGTAAAGTGTAAAGCAATCCAAATCAACAGACCGGCAATAAGCATGAATTTTTATGGAGCTTTGAGTTTTTGTTGTGAAAAGTTAACTAAACTCCACAGTTAATTTCGAGGTTTTTGATGGTCCTATATTGGATTATATTGGCGAAGTGTCTTGTTAGTTTTTTTCAATTTGACGGTGTCATCCCACTCGCCACTTAGGCCAGTTGACTTCACCCACATTTCTGTCAATGAATCCAAAGACAGGTGTCTTTTTAACTATTTAAAACATGAGTTGTGATGATTTAGGGAGATCTTCTCAAGAGTCAGATGTGAAGACTTGTCACGTTTAAAATTAATCTAAACATAAAAAGATGACAACGGGGAACAGCTAACCAACAATGCCAGATAATCTATTACACCATTTGATGCAAACTGGGGCTGCAAAAGAGCTCATTTATATCAAGGAGTGTTGCAAAATCTTGTGTAAATACTGTAGCATTTGACTGTATAAGTACTAAAGCTAAAGCGAAGGTGTATTTAATATTTCACACTTTAATTGTCCTCTGACTTGTCCCCCACCTTCTCTCCGACCCTAATACGTTTACACCTCCTCATCGTATCTCATGTGGCAGTCACTGTGTTCATAAAAATCCAACGTGTTTCATTCAGAGCAGAATTAAGGCAGAGACTATATTAAATACATTCAAAGAGTTTTTTTTGTGTGTTTGAAGTGTATCAACATTTTTAAAAAGCTGCCTTGGAGCCTTTGAGTGGGAGGCTGATCATATCTTCTGCTGGCTAAACACATTCTTTGGAGCAGTTATGTAAGCACCACCATGAGAATGCTCAATCGCACATCTCTGTATGTAAATAGACTTCAGTGTTTCACAGAGTGCAAAATATGTACACCTGTCTGTTGTATGGTTTTGTTGAGATGCAGCAGCTGTGCGCACCGCAATGACAACAACCTGCGTCTGCTGCTGCCTGAGGTGAATGTTAGTTGTGTTTAGTACAGGCTCGCTGCTGGTGGTTACATGAAAAAATCTCCCAGAGGAGGAAATGTGTTTTTCACATTTCTTACACCGGCTTCTCGCATCAGTGAGTTTCATAATGGAACACACCTGTGACTCTCTTCTGGTTTTTAATTATACGATGCTGGCCCATGTGTTTCTGTCTCACAGGGCCTCTGCCAGGCAGCGGTCAGTGCCTTCGCTGGCTTCTAGTCGCACCTGCCGGCTGGTTTTTCTGTTCTCCACCCAGGAGTTGTGTATCACGGTGCCCCCTGGTGAGGGGTCTACTTGGAGCAGCGACACCACCCTCTTCTTAACCTTGGCACGGAGGGCACGGCGCAGTTTCTGTCTGGTGAAAGCATAGAGAAGAGGGTGGGAGACAGTGGTGCCGTAAGCCAAGGCTAGAAACCAGAAGCGCAGGCTGACCAGGACATCAGTGGGTCCAATGCCCAGGATCAGCACGTTGGTCACAGAGAGGGGAGCCCAGCAGCCCAAAAAGGTCGTGATGATGATGAGGGACATCCTGAACACTCGCCTCTGGCGCTCTCGTCGATCCCGGTGTCGTCTAACTGCCCGACGCAGAGCGATGATGGCGGACACAGACGCCTGGACGCCCACCGTGGCCGGCATGGGGGTGGCAGCACCCATATCAGGGGTGACAAGTGGAGCAGAAGAGGACAGAGCAGGGGGGGAGGTAGCTGTAGGGGTGGGGGATGGGGAAGGGATGAGGGGAGGATGATTGAGCTGTTTGGTGCCATCTATGGTGCACTGCTCCCCTCCTGCCTCCCCGCCATCATTCACTTTAAGTCCTGCCTTACTCTTTTTCTGTCTCTTGTGGCGCCCCCTGCAGGACGGACTCCTGAAACGCTGACCCTTCTTCATGTGGGAGCCAATGCGAATGTTTAAAGCTCTCAGTATTCTGGAGTAGGTAAACAACATGACTGCCACAGTAGTGAAGAAGATGGGTACCTGTAGGATAAGATGGTAATATATACCCAGGCCTGTGTGAAAGCCCTGACCGCCAACACACAGGAGAGTCTGGTTACGCCATGCTGGCACCACCGTGGCACTGACGTCATATGAGGGCAAAGACAAGGGTGTCACCTGCCCTGTGTCCTCAGCTCCTTCTCCGCTTGACCACTGCGTCTCCAAGAATGGGATGAAAAACACAGCAACCGAGGTGACCCAGACAGCAGTGAGGAGCAGCGCTGCTCTACGTGTCGTCAGCAGCCTGTTGGCCGGTCGCACTGAGATGTCGTAACGGTCCAAGCTGATAACCAGGATGTTGATGGCCGTGGCAATGCTGGCAAATGTGACGCAGGCCTCATGGAAGCAGCAAAGCAGGGCCAGGTTTGGTCCTGGGGGCAGGAGGACGACCACTAGAGTGAGGGGCACGCACAGCACACATACCACCACATCGAGCACGTGCAGGTTGACGGTCACCATGTTGCTCACTGAGTCCACCAGGTTGGATTGAGAGCAGTACAGCACCAGCACAGTCAGGTTGCTGCTGAAACCCAACACCAGCTCCAGCATGAGGAAGGCAGTGAGTGACACCTGGAAGCCCAGCGAGTATGGCATGTACCAGGACGCGGGAGTGCTGGATGAGCCCCCTCCTCCGTGCTCCTGAAGGACGTCCATTCCCTCCAGGTCAGCCGTCGTCCCGATCCAGTTGGTGGTGGCTGGGCTTGAGGTGTAGCTGCCAGTCTCCATGACGACCTCTCAGTCCTCATATATTGTATCTGTCACACTGTTGATGAGCTCCCATGATGCACCAGGCTGAGCCTCCATGATGCGGGGATGAATAACAGCTTGGTGACAGCGCTGCGGAGACAGAAACACAATGCAGACAGATGAGAAATGAACTGTGGAACAGAGAATCAAAACACATTATTCTCTCTCATCGCATGTCACAGATCTCAACATAGCTTTGGACAGAAAATAACGCAGAGATCATAACCTATCCATGTTCGACCAAAAAAGATAATCCATCCATCTATCTATCTATCTATCTATCTATCTATCTATTCATCTATCTATCTAATATTGGCATATGTCAACCCCAGCATCTGTAGAATGAGTAGCCGCTGCATTATGCATCACTCCATCCTTCAGTTGGTCTCCTGTTGGTATCACTGATTACCATTTTGGCTCAGTCACAGTTTGAGGCGTGCACACAAGCTGTCAGAGCTGCAGGCCGTCACAATAGGCCATCACTAATGTGTACTGGAGCTCAGGGGATGACCAAATTGAACAAAGCTAAGTAATCAGACCTTCAAGCAATCAGCTGCCTTCATTGTATCAGTTGAAACAACACATTCAGCAACTTACACAAAATTGGTTATGATTTCTGCTGACGGTAGCACACCATACAATTACTTTTAAAAAAGCTTTTGTGCCAAAGAAGCATATTTATAAAGTGCTTCAAGGTCTTGGCCAAACTGTCAATGACATAAGTTAATTCACTTTAGCATCAGTGTTTCATCTGAAGGGTTAAAGTCTGTGGAACAGAGTTCAAAGATTTCCTTCTACACATGATACATGTCTGAAAATAATCACTGAAAACATGTCTGAAGACTGAACTATGTTGTACTGAAATGTAGTGTTAGGCCACTAACTTTTTTTTGTGGATTTTTTTGGAAGGGCCAGAAATTATGGCTTGATAATGCACTGAAGGCCTACTTTACATTACTATGGCCATAAAAAGTGGAGTGCTTTGGCATCAGTGAGTGCAGCCAACAGTTTGCTAGCTAGCTATGCCTTCGTCCAGTAAATTAATCCTCCTTGGGTATCAGAATTTGCAGAACTACTTAGTCTCCTCGTTCAAATTTCCTAATAGAGAACTGAAGATCACAGCAACACCCGCCTCTGCAGTGACAAGTTTCCACTTTTACAAACTTTCGTCAGAGACAACAGGGATTCACAGATAATTGATCACTAGGTAATTGTGCAAAACCAACTATCTCAGTCACTGGCCCCTCTCATCACCATCTGGTGGCACAGTCAGAAACTAATGGCTCCAAACAAGTGTATGTTGCCTGTGTGCTTTTGTTACAAGTACAGTAGGTAACTTAGTCCACTAGAATTCAACACTAGCTAATGTTAGTACATGTAATGTTAAATTGACCTTGTTCCCTGAGTGCAACTGATAGGAAGATACAACGCTAACCTATGAGTAGTCTTTTATGTGAATTAATACAGCATTTTAAATGGGTAATGGGACACCTCACCCTCCCAGGAGGGTGTAAAATTGACATGAATACCCTTCACCCACCAGGAGAGTTTGCACAGTTGCACACACATTTTGGCTGCTGTGACAGCTGTCAGTCGAATCCTGGTGGGGCCCAAACAACTGACCTGAGACGATTTGAAAAGGTGGGTTTTCAGTCTGCTGTCAGACTGCTGGACAGAGCAGCAATTGCTCAGGTCATAGTGGTATTTGAGAGAGGGAACACCTGTCATGTTGTAGCACCAGAGGTGGAAACGTACCTCGTGTTTTAGAGCAAATAATGCTGCTTATTTTTTTTATGATTCTGAAACCCAATTTTACAGTGCTGATAAACATAAACAGGAGGATGGCAGCCTGCTATCAATCTCATCTAACTCTCAACCAGAGAGCAAATGAATCTATTTCCAAAAACGTCAAAGTATTGCTTCAAATTGAATTGCAGCATCTAAAGCCTTGTTAGGCTGTATCATCACAATATAATGAACTGATTAAAGAGCTCTATACATATTTAGTTTACAGTGTAAGAGAAATAGTCAAATTATGCTTTGATACCAAGCAGCAACCTGAGAAACCAAACCACGACTCCAAAAGTGAGTCAATATCCACAAACCCCCATGTTAAATTTACAGCAAAAATAAACATGTTCACAGCTTTGTTGTTCAGTTTTGGTGTCTGTAGGTAATATCCTTCTTGTAACTTTATGGAGGTGAAGTTTCTTATACAACTCATCTGTTTAAGTTGTATCAGGACGTAAACAATTTGGAGCATGGCCACTTTGAGTGACAGGTGGGTGTTGTCATTGCATTGTCCATGGCCCAGAGAAGTCTGCATGGCCTGCCCAAACTCCACTTATCCTCCATCTCTTTCAATATTATTGGATCAAATGGTAGTTGGGAGGAATCTGTCAAGACAGCGATGCCCAGAGCCATAACATAGAGCTTCAAAACTGCTCTTATAGAATGTTTTTACGTTTTTTTTTTTTCAGGGACAATACTGTTGATTAGTAATTCTGCCATGAATCAATCTATTTCTTGTAAAAATGGATGGCAAATGGATGTGTTGACGCTCAAACATTCTGTGTTTAGTGTGGAAATGAACTGCTCTTTTGTTTACTTAAGGCTCAATTATTAGTGTACTGCTGTGTAAAGTCAGAGACAAAGTGCTGAAATGCTGTAACATAAACATTGTCGCTAAGTGTCATCAGATTATCTCAGGTATGTAGTGATCAGCGAAAGGCTGACAAAGTCACAACCTTAACAGCACTAGCAAACAGTAACTTAAATTTAGTTTTCGTCCTGTGTTCACTCCTGTGGTAAAATACTACCCTTTTGGCCAAGAGAGCAGGAAGAAAACTCCTGAGAGAGTCGCAAGAAACAAAGCAGGGGTCTGGGATGAAATACAGAAATCAAATAAAATGTATAAACAATTAAAAAATGGCATATTCTAGCCATAATAGTTCTAACCATAAAAATACTGGTCAAATGATGCCTGTAACAAACACAGAAACATTACCGTTGAGTTTGTGACATTACTTTGACTGATGTGATGTTTTTAGACTGTTGTGGTATTTTGTGTTATATTTGCTATACTGCTTGGATGGGCCTATTAGTGTGTGCGTATGTGCTCCCGCTTGCAACATTTGTAAGCTTCATCCACCTCGGTGTTGGTAGGGTCTCTGTTATTTTGAGAATTGGAGGTGAATAAGGTTGTGAACCCCTGCAACAGAGTATGATGACACAAATTCAGTGCTTTAACTTTCTCTACATTTCACTCACTCTGTTAGACTTCTGAGAATGGACTGTACTTCAATATTTCAATTAGAACAGATAACAATACTGTTATTCATTGCTGAAGCACAAGTGATCACTGATGATTTTTCAGATCATCTCCACAGTCAGATCCAGCCACTCTTTGCTGATAAACTTCACTACAAACACAGACAGCATCTTCTTGTTATACTGACAGCTAGAAGACTAAAGTCAGTGTGTAAACCACAGTCACTTGTCATTGATTATGGAGTGTCAAACAATAGCACCTGTGGGAAATCAATTGAATGATTAAAAGTCACAGCTTCTTGTCCCCTCATTTGCTGAATGAAAACCTCGACGACCAAAAGGCTGAAACATCCGACGATGAACCTACGAGTCAAAAGCGCAGGAAACAAACAGCACAGCAAATCAACTCTCACACATCAACCTCTGCACAACTCCACTCCAGCGACAAGACATTCGGTTGAGTGATGGACTCATTTTCTCCCTGTTTCTGTTGCCACGGCAACCACACCACGAGGGACGAGATTAATGAGGGCACAGGTAGTATAGCATTGATGTGTGTGACACTGAGCTGTTTGGTGACAACATGCTAGTGACAGTGAGACATTAGTATAGTGGAGTCTTTAAACTAAAACAGAGACATATAACATTCCTGTAGAAAAAAAACAAGGCAGAGACTAAAAAAAAAGTAATATTTATGCAAACTGATAAGTCTTTTGAGAGTCAAAAAGCCAACAGGAAAGTGCAATAATCACACCTCGTGCTACAGATGTACTGAATATTGCCTCCAATAATCCACATCCCAGTGATTTGTCTGCTAACTTTCATTGTGCTCCTGTTCTTCCTGGTTATTGTAAACAGCAGAATGTGGAAGAAAGCGCAAATTCCCTTAAGATCAACAGCACTCTTCACTGCACTATTTTCAGCACTATAAGCAAAGTCTAGACTTCATGGACACACGAGGCAGGTTTCTTCAACAATGCATAAGGTAGTAATAATAGATTTGGGTTTGGTTTATAGTTGTAAGTGACATCTTGAGGGGATGTGAGAATAAATGAAAGGAGACACACAGAGGAAAGTAAAGTGGGAAAAAAACACGAGGTGAAGGAAGCAGTGAGTGGAGAAGTGATGGTGTGCATGAGCGCAGCCCTGCAGCCACTTTGCTTCGCTCTTGTTGAAGCTTTCCAGCTGGTCCGATCGTGAGCGGACTGTCTGATTGCCACCAGAGGGTAACAAGGGTTTGGATGGAGGCTGGAGGGAAATGGAAATGTAGATTTTTTTTTTTTTTTGGGAGACGTAGTGGATTCTTGTTTAAAGGAGGGCATACATCACCAGGAAGTAGGACATCAGAAGTGCCCGCTGGAGAACTGAGACAGATTACAGCAATGCCTGAGTGAGAGAAGGAAGTAGAAAGGAAGGGCGAACCAGAAGCGCTGGTAAACAAGATGTCCCATGGAGCAGAGGTGGCAGTTTCTTTTTCCACTCTACGGTCTTACATCAGCCTTCCTCCAACTGCTGCTGGTTTCCTAGTCGCTTCCAGTCCCCAAAAGACCGCTTCGGTCCCAAAGGACTGCACTCATGATTGCCTGAATGAAAAGCTGCATGATGACTGCACAGGTTACACATTTAGCGCAAGGAAGGCAGACAGATATTGCCAATCCTAAAAATCACAAAAAGCAATCTGGTCTCAGAGTTCTGATGCTGGAGCTTTA